TCCTAAATGTTCTTCCTATGTGTGGAAAAGAATCAACAATTTGTCCTTAAAGTCAGCACACTGTGTATATAGTTTATACCTGTTGAACCAGTTCCACACAGCACAGAGCATAAAGCAGATAACACACACTCGCTCAGTTTGTGCGCCCGCTTTGGATGTTATTAGTCCATACAGTGACCGTTAGCAGAGCTCAGCCCCTATGGCCCATATCTGCCAGTTTTCTCTTTCCATTTACAACAGATCAGACGGCCTTCTCTCTCTCTCTCTCTCTCTCTCTCTTTCTCTCTCTCTCTCTCGCTCTCTCTCTCTCTCTCTCTCTCTCTCTCTCTCTGTACGCACTTTTATTGAATCTTATTTTTAAGAGCCCACAAAGAGCTAAACTGACTGCAAAGCATTTAAACATAGTCTGAACATTAGTGCAGTTCACTTTTTATGTTTTTTAATTATTGTATTTTAGCATTTTAACATCCCATCTCTTTTTTAGAGATGGGATGTTAGCAGATGTTGTCATAATAATGGGAAGTAAAGAAGTACAAATACTTACTGTATTTTAGTAGAGTTGTCATGAATTACTGGCTGTGGACCCAAATGAAGGCTGATGAGACGCGCTGACAACATAAAGTGAAAATGCACCTTTACTGAGTGGGTAGATAGTCCAACAAGCAAAATTAAAAACACATTTTGGAGAAAAATCAATACTAGTACCACTAATTACTACTAGTAGTAGCAGTACTCCTATACTACTATTAATAATAGTAACAATAGTCAGGATCCTACTGTGCTGGCTTACCTGTGTCAGTTTATCCTTTTGCTTTCTCTCTCTGTGGGTGTATTTGCTGTGAGTGAACAGTAAACCACGCCTGTGTCCTCTGCTGGCGTCCAACAACACAAAACAAATATTTCCTCAGGCACTCCCTTTAGCAAGAGACTTATACTTTTTTCAGAATCTACTTAATAATATATAAAATGCATTTTACAATCACTATTTTTCTATCATACCCTTCATTAATTTCTTAAAGAAAATTAATTCAGCTTTTTTTTTTTTTTTTTTTT